CAAGTATTTTTAATATGTGGAAAAAAGGGGCATACATATCGTCACAGCTTGGTGGCTCAGCAGGACCACAAGGATTGAAGACTTTATCTTCTGCGCATTCAATATCTGAGAAAGAAAAGGAAAGCACAACACTTAATATCTAAACCTTCCAATGATGCTTAACTTAAACAGTTTTTAGAACTTACTGCAAAGGTTAGTGTAATTCCTCCAGTGTACGCAGATCCCTAACTGAGAGCAAGACCTTGCGTAACTCTGCAAACTGGTACACACAACAGCGGGGTTGCTCATATGGCAACTATCGTATTCACATCCCATAAAGAAGTTTTCAGGAGACACATGAGCATGGCACGCTTCAAACAACCTGAGAAAGAAAGCAGTAGTATATCTCACTTTGGAAGATCTGTATATTGAAATTGATTACAATAATACACAGAAATAAACTTACTCGCTACCAAGGAGAAAGCAGTCAGGATGGGCCTTGCATGGCTTAGGTGTAGGTTTGATATCACCTCCAACAGTTGGCAATGCAGTTGGTGGAGTACACATTTCATCATTTACACCACTGGCTGCCCAATAATCTGCCATCACCGAACAGTCGTCCACCAAGATCCCTCCAGGGATCATGCAGTCATCAGCCTTGTTGTTGTTGCATGTTCCTTTGTAAAAGATTTTCGGCAATCATTTAAGATGGACAGAGCATGATAACAAACCTCTACCATCCAAATTGTGACTTACCACAGTGACCTTGTGTGTTGTTTCCAAAATGCTGGAATGGCAGGTTGATGCTAAAGCCGGTGGCTCCAAAGGATACATCAACATTGAGCTGTGGAATACTTAGGAACAGGTCTAAACTCGAGCTTACAACCCTCACACCATTGTGAGTATATGGTAGCGTCAACAGAACATCGCCCATCAGAGCCTGTTAGGACAGGAGAAGACAACAAGACTAGGCTTAGGATACTTACATGAGGAAGTAATCTCGGTAAAGTAGTCCAAAACACTCACCTCTAGTTCTGCACCTCCGAAGAAATTGTGATTTTTAAGTGTTATGACTTGATTGTTGTATGAAACAATAATAGATCTAGGACAGGATACATGCTCAATAGGGTCACAGAAGACATTGTCAATGTAAATCGTCAAGTGGTATTGAGGCCTAATTTCCTCCATTAATATATAAGTGCAGTTTCCTTGGTAACTGTAGAAGAGTCCATCAAATGTGATGTAATGTGGGTCACCCCAGCCTTCACAGAAGCCTACGATTAAA